TAAATAAATAAAAATATGACCCAGTCGTCCAGAAATTGGGGGTTTCGGCTACATTCAACTATTTCTCAATTTAATTATTCGTTGTTTTGTTATTTTCACTTTAAACCATTTTTTTCTGCTGATTAAAACATTCTTGAGGGTATGAAAGCCATCATATCCCCATTTAGGTGATTCTTTTATTTTAGATCCTACCATGAAACTCGAATTTCCTTTAATCGTCCAGCAATTGGCCTGGTCACCATAGAGCAGATTTTTTTATGAAGTTTAACTCACTGTGAACTAAAGCTCATAATGACATGATTGTTGAATGTCAGGAATGAGAGACGGATGTATGAAAGTAACTTCCATGGAACGTGCCCCCGGAAGTTGTATCGTTCGCCATCACCCGTTACTTTGTCTGCCTTACCTTGTGTCTGGTACATGCGGAATGTACCCGATGTATGTGCTCGATAGTCATCGATTGAAAAATAGTCACCAGGGTACAGTTGTTGACCTGTGAATTTTCGTTGATCTGGGATTTCTTAAATCATTTATTAAGCGATTAAAAACCATACACTGAGAGAAAAAATTATTCCTGCCAAGGATTGATATTCTCGTCAGAAGATAATATTTTTTCAGAACGAATTTTTCCAGGACAGTCATTTTCAGAGAGTCCAAGTCTATCCTCAAAAATTACAGTGATATTGAACAATCTGATTATTATGCTACATATGACCTTGACAAAATGTTCTCCGATATCTTCCGGATTTTACAAATTGGCGATTTTCTCAGGTAAAGAAAATTGGAATAATTCCAAATGTTAATAATTATTATTGGAGTTTCTTCGAGGTCATATGGAGAAGAATATTCTTATAGATCACCATAATTCTCACGCTTGGAACTGATTTCGGAGCACCTGGAAATGACTGGCCTGGAGAAATACGTTCCAAAAGAGATATTTTCTTCTACTAAGAGTATAAAAAAGATATCACCAATAACATTTTCTTGGAAGGAATAAATTTTTTTCTCAGTGTGCACAAGGTTTTCTAACTGTAAATTATTTTTTTGCAAAGATCTTGATCAAATTTATGAAATGAATTATTCCATTATTCATCCATTGTCAAAAAATTTGGCAATGCAGTTGTCATAGTAGAATTTAACATATAAATAATTTCGTTATTATTTTAATATAAAATTGCACCATTCATGTCGAATAGCCCGAAAAATATTTCTGAAAGAATCGAGAATATATTTTTAATATTTTAAGGATAATTTTTATGTCTATTTTACATGAATGACGAAAATGTTTATATTAAACAAAAGGTAATTAGCTGTGTAAGAGTCGAATTTCAAAAAATCAAGATTTTGCACTAATTATTCGTTTTTAGACATTTATAATAATCGATGTTTAATGCATAAAAAATCGCACTCCAATATCCCACGACTTTTTAAATTCATAGTAGTTTCCCCGTAACACATAAACAATATGACTTATGATGCTGAGGATGTACTACCCTATCAGTCATCTAGAAATTAGGGCAAATGTACTTATTAATTCATCACTAAAGGAATGTAACGGATAACAAATTACATTTCGAATTAATTGATTAAATAAAGACGATAGGAAATTGGCCTCAGCGGTCGTCAGCGCAAATTTTTTCTCTCAGTGCATTTTCATCTAACGAACAAATTACATTTCTATTATTTGTGTCTTTATTTTAAGAATCAGTGAATCGAGGCCAAAATTCCTAGAGAAATTGTTTTCGATTGTCAACAAAAATTTCATCAAAAATAATACATCGGAGTGAAGATGAAAAACAGAAGAAGAGATCTGCTATTTTGCTCTCAATTTTTCCGTTATCGAATCAATCAAATGTTCAGGAAGATGTGAAAAATCGATTTGTCACTTCATTAATGAGTCATCAATTATCTGGAGCCCACGAATGAATGCTAATCAATTAATCAATAGACCTGAACAGTCTTCAAATATGTGGTAATGTTTTATTCATCTTCCTTCATGGTCACCTGCGCGCAATGCCCATTATTTCGGTGATACTAACTGGACCGATAAATCGTCATTCAATCTCAATCAATTTCGCGTGATAAGAATTAATTAATCATCGAATGAGCCACCAACGGCGTGGCGAAATGCATTAAGTTCAGGGGCGAATTGACCAGCGATATGAAAGAGCCGTAATATCTTGACTCTCCTGTATGATATCGAATTTATCACTGACAACACAGAATGGCAGGATATAAATTCACCATCAATAGTTCATTATAAATTCATTCACTGGACATAAACCTGGCATATTACGAATTCAACGATTGGGCGTTGCAGTGTATGCTGAGGATTGTTGGGTAGATTAAAATTGATACGGGCGAATTAGTGGTGGATTCAAACGATATCGCAAGTGTTTAATAGCCAGTGGAGCGTGGCGAGAGAAACGTCAGGTGTCTATTGGCTGCGGGGCTCCAGGTGCTGCAGACCCTGTAATAAAATTCGGTTTCTGAGAATTATATACTGCCCTTTTTTCATGTGACAAAGGCTAAATTGTGCTTGATTGGAGTCGATCAAGGTCAGACGGTTGTAAAATTGGTCTCGAAGCGGTAAAATGATTTAAGTCGACTCAGCCTTCAGCTGAGTTTTCGGGGAATATCTCCGAATCTAAGGGATATAACGAAATTTTTGTCATTACCTTTTTTGTAGCCCTCAATTCACTCTACAGTGAGTTCAGTAAAAATTACGGAACTCACAATTCGCTCACCGATTACGGAATCGACTCAGAAAATTGAAGTGACGGTATCGCATTTTTTCACAGGAGCTTCAGATAAAAATTATGGAACGTTCTGGAAAAATTCCCTGACAGTTGCGTAAAATTTCCTACAACCACATTTCGCTCCGGAATTACGGAAAATATACGTAATTTTTATTGAATATTTCTCTCCGTGTGAAGATTAGCAACTTATCCCTGAAAATGAGTTTTCTCTGTATTCCACGGAATCGTTTGAGAGTTTAATTGCTTAGAATGGAGAAGTCTATTGCTTTTAGAAAGATCACCCTGTTCCTTTTACATTGTTGGGGATCACGTAATACCGCCAATGAAGCACGTTGGTTTATTTAACCGTCAGGGGCAATGACACCAATGGCGCCACGCGACGATCATAATAGCATTGCGCACTCCCGAGGACGATGCTCAACCGTCAATTCATCGTTATCAGCCCATCACCCTTCTCCTTAAAATAATTCATTCCCCGTGGACAGAACCCATCGACAATTCATTAATTCACGAACTTATCTACTTGATTTATGACCTCTCTTTCTCCCGAAAGAAAGAAATTCAAATAAGTCTAGACTCGTTTTTCGAATTTCATTCATCGATCTGTGATTCTCGTCTTGATTCATAAACTTTCGCTCGACTAAAAAATCGATTCTCATTTTATTCTCTTGATTGACGAGCCTCGAAGATCCGGATGCTACCAAAGATGTATCGGGGTGACTGGGCAAGAAGTCGGTCGTCCGAAGAACCAGACGGTGGCCCATACACGGTAGTCGACATGCACTTACTGACGAGGTGGGGATATCCCTCGAGAGTTCAAGATGATTTTAATGGGTCCACATCTAACACGATGTCGATTGTATCGATGGAAGGGTGTGCTCATTCATGCTTCAATGAGTTTGTCGCAATTTCTGGACGAGTTGGTGACTCCAAACGATCTTTTAGCCTTCTACACTGTTGAATTTTTTTTTAAATTCAAGTAACAGTTGAATGCTATTGCTCCCTAATGGAAGCTTTGTATATGCGATTTTTTTCGATTGTCTAATTTTGCTTGTTTTTCTTCCGAATGGAAGCAATGTATTCGTCAACTCTAAAATTTCCTATTTTTTGTGTCAGGATAAGCAATTTTAGCCACAACAGCTCGAATGCACTATTTTTAGACCATGTCCGGAGATATGTAGGCATAATAATTGGTCTCATCTCTCTGATATTAATTAATTTAAGGATATCCAAGTATCTTTTACAGTTCGATGTAGATCACACAATGGATTCAACCATTTTCCATTATTAAATTTGTCAAATAAAATGAGTGAGAAAATTTTGATAAAGATCACGAATATTCAGAGTCAGTAAAATTACATTCTGTGCAGAATTATTATTTTTTCAAACATTTTGTTTATAAATAAATAATTGAAATTGTTTAAACTTTCGGAAACCTTTTTTTTTTAATTCCGAATATGAATAAATGTGTTACGATTCCGGAAAAATTATTTTTATGGTGGAAAATCGATTGTTTATACATCATTCGTAGAAAATGTTCGTAATTTTCAAAAATTGCAATTTTGTAATTATTTCACCAATCTTCCTCTTAAAGTAGTTTCTAATTTCCTTCAGATTTTTAAAATGTTTTCTAACGATTCAATTTCGAGATTCAAATTCAGACCTGCAAAGTTTAAATAATAAAATCATTGTAAAATATCCGGAAAGTTAGGGTCAAATGGACGTCAAATGAAAGCTCTGATGTTCGACTACAAAAGTACGATAGCATTTTATTGAAGACAAAATAGCCAAAGTACTTGGATATCCTTAAGAAAGGTCAGGGGATATTGACGAAACAATTATGTAAGTTCATGTAAGTTCCCTATTATCAGTAGTTTTCGTTGACATGAAAAATTGAATATTCAAATTCCATTAAATACTCAAAAAATGTACTTATTTTTCGAAAGCAAAATATACCGAAATTCCCCTGTAAAGTAGTTGACTAAAATTTCAAGATTCTTTATTTGAAACGTCAAGAGTGAATTTCTAACGGTGCAGCGGGTTTCAAATCGATTTTCATCTGTCATAATGCCGTCTACATTGACCCAAATTTACAGTGTTACGAAAATTCCGATGTATTAATTCATAATGAACCACTGAACTGGATGTAATGAAAATGATCTTGAAGAAATACCGTAGGATTAATTACCTAGTAACGCTCACATCAATCATCCTGACAATTTGTACTTATTCTTGTTCCAGATGAGAGAGAGGATGTGCAGAAGAAGACATTCGCAAAATGGATTAATTCACAACTCATCAAGGTAAATAACCCTGAATTAATCCCCCGGGAGTCACTGGACTCATTAATGCTGACCCAGATGCATCAGAGTAATTGAAGTCATGTTCCCCTCATTACTGTTTTTCTCCTCTCAAATGACTAATAGTTTATTAACCCTTCACGGGTACTCCTCTTGGGCGCTACTTCTACGGACACTGGGGTGGTTTATCACCACATTGCCCATTTCTAGATTTATCTGGAATTAGAATCGCAATAGCGAAGTGCTACATCTTTGTGATATTCTGTCCTGAACAGATTTAGAATAGACAGAACGATATAGTTACTGTTAACGAGAATTGTTAACTATTAACAGGGTTTGTTGGTAGTTAACGAATGGCTGTAATAGTTAAGAAGCCTCGTTAACACCAACTAAATCGTTGTATCTTTTCTATCAGTGCGCGATTCAACTCAACGAATAATCCATTAAAATCATAGATTGGCATCAATCATCACTTCAGTAATATTATGAGAAGTTGCACCTTACAATAATCAAGTTTTTACGTATCTTCATTGAAATTTGAAGAATAATATAATAATTGGTAATTTAAATTTATCAATTATTGGTTAATAAAATAATTCGGAATTTGAATATTCAAGTTGATGATGGATAAAATAATTCACAATTTGAATATTTGCATTGATGGTTAATTTAATAGTCGAAAAATTAGTGCGTAATATTAACAATTGATTTACTGAAAATTTGACTGTAATTTAAAATTATGATTATGCCGATGTCTGATTTAAATAATAAGAGAAATGGCGAAAGTTGAATAAAATTCATTCATTTATTTATTTATTTATTTGAGTAATGTGGCTACATTTACATCAGTGGAAGACACTCACATTGCACGGGGAGGTCTATGGCCAGTAGAAAGGAAATAAAAATAAATAAAAATACTTAAGATAACGCGATGTTTAAAGATATAGCAAATAAGAAACAATTACGGAAAGCTATCATTAAAAGCTGCCAATCAAAAGAGCCTCTCGAAAAAGGTATCGGGTCAATACCAACGAAGAAACGTAAATGCAAAAACCCCAATAATTGACACCAATAGATTACTTGGAATTGGTTTGCCCATAGAATAAAAATCCTGAGATAATGCAGTAGGGTGATGAGTAACCCCAGTGTACCCGTAGAGGTTTAAAATATCGAAAGACCTCTTGAATCATTCAATTCCCGAGAGAAACTATATTTCCGCAAATTAAGACAAATTCTCGGGCTTCTCGAGTGCTGTACATGCTAATTTATCGTAGGAGAGTATGCAATCAGTACCCAACAACTTGTAACCTAATGAAGGTCTACGGAATCAGGGGTTACACCGGCTCACCCACCTCATGAATACAGTCTCACATTTTTACTCTTTGTTTCAGAATAATGATGAGCCAGTGTCAGATTTATTCATCGACCTGCGAGATGGAAATCGACTGCTCTCACTCCTGGAGGTTCTCACATCGAAGACATACGTAAGTGATATAAAATAGCAAATATTCATTTGATGAATTCATTCGGGACTATTAAGGGATGTTTACAATTTTATTGGCGCTAAGAAAAGGGGATAAGAAACACTGTAGCCGTTCGTCTCCTCCATCAAGAGTCCGATGCAATACATTATTGCGTAATGACGCAATCATTTTCAATGGGTCTTTAATGATTTCGCTTGGATGTGAATGCTTCGACGTTCGACACTACCAATTGCCCCGAGGAATTGCATCACGGTGGAAAAAAACGAGGGAAATTGGTGAATAGGGGGAAAAATGATATTTAACTGGACAACATTCTGAGTCTGGTTTTAACGAGAATTTAAAAAATTACCGTCCCAATGTTATTTCATCCAGAATTACACACAGGTGCGCGCAATTTGCATTGAGAATAGCGCGGGCGTTGGTACTGCTGGTGTCACGTTTGTGGGCGGAGGAATGTTGACAATGGAATAAATCAAATTTGAAAAAAAGAAGGATTGGTGTACGTCGGGGTAAATAATTCTTTCTCGAGTGCTACTTGGGGTCAGGGAACTTCAACATTTTGGGATAGATATTTGTATTGTACGTCCGGAAAAATTATGCGTTATTCCAAATTTTTCTAGTCATTTTCATTACAACTCGGATATTTATTTCAATGAAAATGTTCTAATTTTGTGGATTCAATGATTTATTCATTTTAAAGGAGTCTCCTATAAGGTACAAATAAACAATTTCTTTCATCCAATTATGGTATATTTCAAGACAATACCACCCAAAAGTTAGTCCCTATGGATTTCTGGAAAAAATTCTAAACGACTTAATTTATTGCATTCTATTCTCATGTTTTTGATGACGGCAACAATAACTGTTTGAATCAAACAAGAATTTGTTTTTTAATTAATTTTTCGAAGCAATGGAATAAATCAAATTTGAAACGCGTTATTTCAAAATTTTCTATTCATTTTCTTAATAACTCAGGTATTTATTTCATTGAAAATGTTCTAATTTTGTGGATTCAATGATTCATTCATTTTAAATGAAATTCCTATAGAATCCATTTACAGTGTGGTACAGACCACACCATAGATCAATCATTTTCAATCGTTAAATTTGTCAATTAAATTCCGTGAGAATATTTGGTGTCATTTAAATTGCATTTTGCACAAAATTATTATTTTTTAAACATTCGTGGTTTATAAATAAATAATTGTAATTATTTAAACTTTCAGAAACCTTATTTTCTTAAGCATGAAATGCATTTCTGGCAAAATTCTGAATATTAATAAATTAGTTACGATTCCGAACAAATGATTTTATGGTGGAAAATTAATTGTTTATAAATCATTTATAGAAAATGCTCATAATTTTGAAAAATTGTAATTTTTTAATTATTTCATGAATCTTCTTCCAAATGTAAACATTCTAATTTTTTTAAGATTTTTAAAATGTTTTGTAATAGTTCAAAGTCGAGATTTAAATTTAGACCTGCAAAGTTTAAATAATAAAATCATTGTAAATATCCGGAAACTTGAGGTTCAGTGGAGTTCAAAAGCACTAATGTTCGACTACGGAAGTAGAAAAGCATTTTACTGGAAAAAAAATAGCCAAAGTGCTGGGATATTCTTGACGCATTCAGGAGAGAATGAGACATTATGGAAACTTTATTTTTAATGCTAAAACATCGAATTGTTTATTCAACGAATGAGTGAATTATAAAGCATATTTTAAATCGATAAATTTACTCTCCACAGATGAATGTTCAAATAAAGTAAGAAGTGTTCACTTTGGCTCGACTTTCCCAACACATACTTTTCTTGCAAAAAATTCCATCCGTGCAGCAAATACAGACGTATTTACATGATGCTCGATGCATGCATGACGAAACTAATAATTATTTTCTCCTCAATTCTCCGCAGAAGAGAGAACGTGGGCGAATGCGAGTACATCATCTCAACAACGTTAACAAGGCGCTACAAATTTTAGAGCAGAATAACGTTAAGCTCGTGAACATAAGTAGCAACGATATTGTCGATGGCAATCCCAAATTGACACTTGGATTGGTGTGGAGTATAATTCTCCACTGGCAGGTAAACACATTTTTTCACCTCTAAATCACTCTGTATATCCGTTTTCTGAATTTCGTTTGATAGAAGCATGGAGTTACTGAAAAATTGCCCAACGAAATAGCCTGTCCCACTGACGAAACGTGCGCAAACAATAAAAATCCCATTAAGGCCCTGAAAATTCCTCGCCTCTTGTTGAATGCCTGCTCGACCATATCCGAAGAGAATAAACTTCTCTGCAAATCTCTTTTGACGTCGAGAGTTATCAAAGATCTGTGGAGAAAGGGAGTTATCAGGCGGAAAGAAGACATAATGCAATTTCCTTTTGACTTTTTTATTAATAATAATCTTTTTTGTTTGTAATAAAAAGAAGTGATGATGAATATGGAATTCTCAATGGCTTCATATACTTTGAACGGTTCATTTAGCTTACTAGGGATCTTTATCCGCCTTCAAATCGGGTAATAGGATATATAATACGTAGATACCGATGACAATGAATGTTTATCATATTCCCTGGCGGAGGGAGTGGAATTAAAGCAGAAATGATGTATGGGTGAAAGAATAAAGAATGTTAACTGGAAGCAACAGTATCAAAACAATTGGGGATAAGAGAACGACGATTGATTGAACGATGAGAATGTTCTGAATACAAATAAATTCATCACGAATTTGAAAAAATAATTTTTAGCATGGAAAATTTACTGTTTATCAGTATTTTTTTTATTGTTTAAAGCGCGAAAATCTACGTGATTTATTTACACTGTCTGCAGTGGATTTACAATTTTCATTTCGACATTTTTTTTATATGTAGTTACATTTAATTGTATAGTCATTATGTTTATTTTATCTGCTTAGACGAACATGTGTAGAATATTTAGGTTTTTTTTATCGGCTATTAATAGAAAAGGTCTTAATTTTCAATATTAGCAAACTCTCTATTATTTCATGAATCTTCGGTGAAAAATAGACTTCTTAATTTTTCAATTTCTGGAGTGGACTCTAAGGATTCCAAAATAAAGTTGAAACCTTGATGTGCTTAAAACAGTGTTTAAATTGATGTTGAAAAGGATTTTTTTATTGTCGAAATCTATACCCTCGCGAGAGCAATTTCCACTCGACTTTTTTTTTCAATCAATAATCATCTTTTCTGTTTGTAATAAAGAGAAGTAATGATGGACATGGAAGTATCAATGGTTTTATACAGCTTAAACGTATTCATTTAGCTTACTAGGGCTCTTTATCCGCCTTCAAAACGGGTGATAGAATATAATACATGGATAGTGATGACAATGAATTTTCATCATATTGATGGCCGATGGGCAAGGGATTAAAGCAGAAATGATATATGTGCGAAAGCATGGTGAATTTTAACTGGAGGGAACAATAACAATCAATAAAAAAAAGGAATAATGTCAAAAAATTAGGGATGAGAGGCCTAATATTGAAAATTAACGATGAGACTTTTAATTGAGCCACGGAAATTTTCTGAATTCAAATAAATTCATTAAAAATTTGAAAAATATGTTTCTTAATTTTCTAATTTCTGTTGACCAGTTTTCAATGAATATCTCGGAATCTAAGGGAGATAGCAAAATTGTTGTTATAACCTTTTTTGCAAAGCGGATTGACTGCTACAACAAATGCAATTACGAAAATTTCGTTATCTGCCGTAGATTCGGAGCTATTCCTCAAAAACTCAACTGGGAGATAAGTCGACTTAGACAGTTTTACCACTTTGCTACAGAAATCAACTTCAAACGTTGATGAGTTAAAATTATTAAAAAATCAAATTAGGTTTCAAAATTAAATTAGGTTTTTCAATCTTGAAAAAGGATTATTTAATAATTATAGAATGCCTGGTAAAGTACTGCTAAAATTGACGTTCAAAAGGATTTAAAAAAAAGAATTTTGAAGTTCTTAAAAATCCTTCAAGAAATCATCATACTTTCATCTTTCATTTTTTTATATTAGTACTTTCATAACGAATCTTGTTTTATGTGTGAATGAACGATTTTGGTAGTTGAGGTGTATCAAAGTATGCCAATGCCGAAAGTGATCTTAATACGATCTTTGGCTTGGTTAAGGTTGAGAGAGTGTGGTTTGCGTGTTTCGAGTCCAGTATCTCCCATGCATTGCGTAAAATCAAGTGTAAGAGGGTATCGAGTAACAAGTTTTTCTCAACGCCAAACTGATACACCCAACATTTAATCAACTTGTAACATGTACAGGTACACTATCACCTGAAGGATTTAATGGCAGGACTGCAGCAAACTAATTTGGAAAAAACTCTGCTCGCCTGGTGTCGTTTGAATACCAAGGTATACCAAATGCTTCCCACGGACAGTAAAACTGAAACAACTAAACGAGATTGTCATATATACCATTTTAATTGTTACAGAACTATCCAGGCGTTGACATAAAAAATTTTACGACCTCGTGGACAGACGGTTTGGCATTCTGTGCACTGCTGCATAAATGGCAACCACAGCTCTTCGATTTTGATAATATCGCTCGTAAACATCCAAATGCTCGGCTCGACCATGCATTTCGTCTTGCACATGATCATCTCAATATTCAACGTCTCCTGGATCCTGAAGGTAATAAAACTAATTCTCGCTTCTCTCTCTCGAACGATAAAAGTGTGTTGCAGGAAATTGAATTTCGAGAAATGATAAATTTTTATTTCCTCCATAAATTTCACTCACTTGCCGGGATATTCCTTGGGAATTCAACAATAATTGTTTTCGTTTCCTGTCTAGGCGTCAGGACAGGAATTCATTCTGTCGTTGTTGGAGTCGTTCCATGTGGTATTTCATGATAACAGTTGTGAAGGGCTCTGACAGGTGTCTGTTTACTATCAGATTTTTAACTCAAACCATTTTTTTGTTGGATTAGTTTGTGCAACCCGTAAATGACTAATGGGTTGAAAAGTCGAATAAAAAAATGCTCGGATGAAGAAGAACACTTTGTGTGTTCAAAACTTTGGTAATTACTGAAAGAATTCATTTCTCTTAATTTTTTCCTTTTGTCATTTCGGATTAAAATTACTGTTGATATCCGGTAATGGCTGAGGAGTAGTTTATTTCATGAGAAATTCATCCTGGTGTAGTTCTATCATTCAAGTCACGGTTTTCCCTCCAATTTCGATGCAATTCATTAATATAAAGAGAAATAGAATAGAATGTTTTATTTTCTCGATGGTACTTTCACAATTTTACATCTACGGAAGCCATAAAAAACTCCATTAAACCACTTCAATAGAATAAATAGGGTTAAAATTTCTTTATTAACGTTTGTTAATTAACTTTTTTTAATTATTGGAAGTACTGATGAGAATAATAATTTTCTATTCGGTAGAAAAGAACATGAGGTGCGAAAAAATTACTGATATTCGAAACCCCTATATGTATAGCGTTGCGACTACCTCCACAGATGAATCCCACTCCCCTGTTACATCTCGATCTCAACGTCCCCTAGTCAGCTTGTCCCCTGACTCTCCAGCAGCCACACTAAGACCTCGTCATCGCTGAGTCTATGTTCTCTTCTCATTCGAAACTCCCGAAGGCTTTCCAATACCAATCCAATACCACAAATAATCATTTCCATTTCCTGTCTAGACGTCAACACAGCAGTTCCCGACAAGAAATCCATCATGGTGTACGTTATGTGCCTCTTCCAGCAGCTTTCCCAACCGGATGATGACATCGGTGACATAGACATAGCAGTCGCTAGTGACATGAGTCAAGCAACAACCCCAACATCTCCAGTCGCTGAAAACAGTGCCCTGTCCATTGCCAATCTAGGTGTTCCAGCATCACGTCCAATGAGTTTAGCAACGAATGTATCTGTGGAGTTGGGGGGATACCAAGTGGCTTTGGAGGAGGTTCTCACATGGCTCCTGGAAGCTGAAGACAAGCTCAGTCATGTCCCAGAGTTGGGACCAACCTTGGAGACTCTGAAGGAGCAGTTTCATGAGCACGAGTCATTCCTGCTTGAACTCTCTGGCCATCAGGATGGGGTTGGTGCAGTTCTGGAAGAGGGTGCAAGGCTGCTTGCTGAGGGTGGACTTCACAGGGACGAGGAGCAGGAAGTGCGTGTGCAAATGTCTTTATTGAACTCCAGGTGGGAGGAGCTGAGGATGAGAGCAGTGGACAGACAATCAAAGATTCACGAGATGCTTCTCAATATGCAGCAGAAGCAACTAGATGAATTGAAGCAGTGGTTGACTAAAACTGAGGACAGGATATCGCACATGGCTGCTTGTGAGGTGAGTCAGGCAACTCTGGAGGAGCAAATGAGACAGCTGAATGATCTCCAGAAGGATGTGAAGAAGCAGCAGTCTGTGGTCGATGCTGGAAAGAACATCATTGTGATTGTTGACGAGGAGAATTCAGAGACAGTCTATGCGCAGATGGAGGACCAGCTGGCGGCTCTCGACGAGCGTTGGAATCACATCTGCCAATGGACTGATGAAAGAGCTGAAAAACTCCAGTCTTTTACGACTGTTTGGAAGGAGTTCGTTGATGATTACAAGAAGCTGCTGTCTTGGCTCAATGAGACTGGGATAACTCTGAGGCAGATGGAGGCTGTCCCTGCTTCTGAGATTGGGGAGGTCCTCGAGAGGATCAAGAAGATTAGGACTTTGAAGATGGAGATGGATGATAATCAGAAGAGACTTATTGAGTTGCAGAAGGCTGTGCAGGATATTGGGGATAAGGAGATGACACCTGAGTGCGAAGACCTGTTGGAGAAGATTGAGAATCTGCAGGATCAGTGGGAGGCCATTGGACAGATCATGGAGGTGCAGAGTCAGAGGGTAGGATACTCCAGGATTTGATTTTTTTTGGGTTTTCGGGCTGCTTTGGAGATTGCTTGTGCTTTTTAACTTAAGAATGCTTGATTGTTTGGTTTTGCCTTATGATTGGTTATTTTATGTGAGTGAACGCTGGTGTTTTATTTATTTCGAGTTATTTAGGTATTTTCTTTGCTTTGAGCTTTTTTTCTTTGTAATAATCCGCTTTTTTATGAATAAACGCTTTTCATTTCAGTAAAATTTTTGGGCTTTCTGCTTTGCTTGCACCTCCTTTCTCTTGCTATTTTTAATTTTATTCTGAGGGGATCAAAGTGGGATAGAATGATGGCATTTCTCGACGGTTCTCAGTTGTGTGTGGTACAACTAAAATTTTGAATACTTGAATAATGAAATAAATGCTAAATAATTGAAATTGTTTAAATGGCGAAATATTACTGAAATTTCTGTTTATCAATGTTAACTCAAGTAACAGTTCTTTGATTTGTCGATGCAGGGATAAATAGGTATGTTTGTCGATTCTCTACTTAGTTAATTTTCGGTCTCAGGGAAAGAAAGTTTCTACTTTTCAGAATAAAGTTGCTAATTTTAAGAAAATAATAATTCTAACATGCACTGCCCTTAGAATAAAAAGCTGTTTATCTAATTTTAAAACAAATTTCGGAAAATAAAATGGGAATAGTAGAGTTCTTTAATAAAAACATTTCTTTTTTTGACGTGAGAACAAAAAGGATAAAATTCAGGATTAATTGAACATTAATCGAGTCAAGGTGATATACGAGTGATATACGTCGAATGAAAAAGAAGTCGTGGATTGAGACATAATGATGAATTTTTGAAATATTTTGGAAAACTGGAAATGCAAATAGATTGATTGTAGTGCAGGAAAGATCATCAATTCAAAAGTGGTCGACATCAAAATTTGGTCAGAATGACTAAAAATGTGGGTTAATTCAAGTACAATCGTGTTAATTTCAAACAAAAGTGACTGAGAATAGACAAAATTATTTCCTCCATAATATAACAAACAGGTAATTTCTAGGAATTCAAACTCTTTTGTCAGATTTTTAAGGAGAACCTCCTTGGAATAAGTGGAAATTTCATGAAAAGAAACTAGAATATTTTTCGTTGTAGTAGTTCCATCTCTCCAGTCTGTTTTTATTACAAAAGCAATGATATTTTCATTATTTAGAATTCTTCGTCAGGGTATTAATCCCGGTGAATCCGTTCATAACTAAATATAATCCTTCAGTAAACACCGACCCCATCAAATGGAGATCGGCTGAAAAATGATCAAGGAAAAAGCTTACAGGCAGAATAATTCTACTACTCCAATTAATCGCAATTAGTCACAATTAATCCTAAACTAGTTGAATACCAAATTTATAGCATCAGTAAGCCCAACCGTGTAATATTTACGAATTAAGTTGCCATTTCGTGCACTAAATATCAAACTCTGGCTTCGATTTCACCCTCGAGCTCGAATCCGCATCCCTAGTACTTAAAAATAAAGCCGAGTACTTAAAAAAAAAATTATAATCAAATAAGGGGTTTTGACCCTCTTGACCCTTGTAACCTTGCTTTATCCGGAGACCCTTGTAGCCCTTTTGGCCTGTAACCGCGTAATATTTACGAATTAACTTGCCATTTCGTGCACTAGATATCAAGCTCCGGCTTTGATTTCACCCTCGAATCCGAATCCGAATCCCGAGTACTTAAAAGCAACGACTGGATGTCTGAAACTGTCACAAGCATAGCACACCAACAAGAGTTATCAGAGGCGGCGCACAGTGATTTGAAAAAACGTCGGCTTGCGGGTGCCCGATCAAGACAGGATTTCGAGTCAGCATTATTGAACTTGTACAAGTGGTTGGACTACGTCGACCTCGAAATTGGAAGGTCCGAGGGGGTATTCGATGAACTGAGCGTCGAGGAGAAGAAAGTTGTTTACGAAGAAAGTTTGGCAGACGTTGAGGCACACAGGGGCGAATACGAGAGAGTCCTGGATATTGGAGGACAGCTTGTGAATGAGTTGAAGGAGGCGGGCGAGCAGTTTGGTGATGAAATGAAGAAGATAAATGACATTAAAAATTGCTGGCAGGGTACGAACAACAGACTGGGAGAAATTAAGGAGAGAATTGATTTTTTGATGAATGTCAAGCAATTTCGCTCGGAATTATCTAGCCTGAATTTAATGCTCGATGGCTACTCAAAATGGCTCGAGGGGAACAAGGAGAACACCCAGATCGAGCCCTTCAGGGTGAAGATCAAGTCGATGAACTCGCACGAGGAGAGAGTCAAGAAATTACTGGAGAGGGCTGAATCTTTAACGAAAAGTACAGAAGGAGGCGACAGTGGGGCCATTGAGAACGACACTAGAGAATTCAGTTCAAAGTGGGAACAATTGCATAATAAACTATCTACTCGATTGAACGAACTGAGCAGCGCTCTGGATAAAACTCCCCCCAAGAAGTACTCAGAAACAATGGCATTCCTCCTGTCATTCATAAATAACGTGGAGGGGGTTCTTTTAACCGAGGACACAGTGCTATCGAACGAGAAGAATATGGAGGAGCAGCTGGGGAAACTTCAGGGCCTCCAGAACTCGGTTACAGAGCATCGTGATAAATTCAATTATGTCAATAGCACTGGACAGGAGTTGATATCGAAAATTGGGGGGGAACCGCAGGCCCAGAGGCTCAAGGATGAACTGCAGGACTTGAATACCAAGTGGAGTGACATTCCCATCATCTTGGAGGAGCGTCAGCTCAAGCTATCGAAGGATATTGAGTCGCTGAGGGAGTTTAATGAGGAGTTCTGCAGCCTTGAGGAGTGGCTGGAAAAATCGGCCAAGTATTTGAGTGAAATATCGCAGGATCAGTTCATCAAGGATGTGGAAACGACAAAGTTCAAACTCGAACAGCTCAAGTCCCTGTCGGAGGACATCACCAAGACAAAACCGAGGGTTGAGGCACTTCAAACGATGACGAATCACTTGCTCGAGAATTCAGAGCCCAAATTCGCTAGTATTCTTAACAGCAGACTCGAAGTTGTTTCGCAAAAGTGGCATGGCATTATCGATGGAGTTAAGTCCGAGAGGGATAAGTACGAAGCTGCTTTGAGGAAGAACGATGAGATTGTTAATGGAATCGAGGACTTCACTAAATGGTTATCCGCACTGGAAAAGGAGATCCCTCAGAGCTGTAAGATTACGTCCTCGGTTGAGTTGTTTCAGATACGCGGACGTTATCAGAATCTTAAGGATAAAATTGACAAACGGGTGGAGGAGTTTCGGAATTTGAACGAAATGGGAAATGACAAGTTGTTGAGCTCGGAGGGCTCCTCGGTACAGGAGTTGGGGAGACGTTTTACATTCTTGAATGCACGGTGGACAGATGTTACTGATCGTATTTACGAGAGGTATAGACAATTGCAAAATGCTAGTCACGAGTATGGGGAATTTAGGGCACTAGTTGCACAGGAGAGTGACTGGCTGGATAAATTGGAAAAGAGATTGAAGAAATCGAGCAAAGGGGCTGCTGACGCTGAGGAGATTTCGGAGGAGCTTGATGTAAGTGGTTTTTTCGCTTATTAATCTAATCCTCATTAATGATTTTTGAAGGTTTTTTTAAGGATATTTGGGGATCTTTTACAGTTTGGTACAGACCGCTCTATAGATTTAACCATTTTCAATCATCAAATTTTTCAATAAATTGTTTGAGAAAATTGTGAAAAAAAATTAGAAATATTCCGCGTCATTCAAATTACATTTTGCCCAGAATTATTATTTTTCTAAACATTCGTTGTTTATAGAAATAAATAATCAAACGTGTTTAAACTTTCGGAAACCTTATTTTTTTGGGATGGAATCTATTTCTGGTAAAATTCTGAATATGAATAAATTTGTTACGATTCCGAACAAATGAGTTTTGGGGGGAAATTATAGTGTTTATAAATCATTTACAGAAATGCTGGTAATTTTCACAAATTGCAATTTTTTTATTATTTCATCAATCTTCCTTTAAACATAAACTTTCCAGTTTTTTTCAGATTTTAAAGAGATTTTCTAACGGTTCAATATGGAGATTAAAATTTAAACCTGCAAAGTTTAGATAATAAAATCATTATGATAATGATAATATTCAGCTAAGTTGAAAATCTGACACAATTAATTAAAAATTAATGTCATTAAATACAATAATATAAAATAAACAATGATTTCAGTAGTGAAGTGGTCAAAAGGTTCAAGTCATTTCCATTCTAGCGCCAATTCTCGATGAATATCTCAAATTCTAAAGGAGTTGGCAAAATTTTCCGAAATATTTTTTTTGTAAAGAAAAGTGAAGACTATCAAAAACGATCTCATAAAAATTTCGCTATCTTTCTTAAATTCCGAGTTATTCAACAAAATTTTTCATCAGGATTTGGAGAATTATATTCGAAATCATTCCGAGTCTCGTCGTGAGAAGATCCAGGAAATTGGGAAGCAATTGGGGGAGAGTGACATAATGACCAGTTCGATTGAAAGTGATGTTGAGGGCCTAGAGAGACGATGGACAGATTTGAGAGAAAAGGTAAGAGTTCACCGAAGAAATGAATTTTTTTCAACATTGAAAAATCGTGACTTCATTTAAATTTTTAATTTCTGGTTTCGTGGAGGATATTAAATATAGAAAAAATTGTTGGAATTTTTCTTCTCTAAATGATATCAGTTCAAATTAATTCAAGCATTTTATGGTGAGGCACCAAAAATTCTAGGAAAATTGTGAAAAATTCTAGCTTGAGGATTTCACATGTTGAAATCACATTCGGTTGAATTGAAAAAATTCTTCACGTCTTCACAGACATGAAGCCATTGTTTTTCGAGAAAGTACGGATTTTGAGCTTTAACAGATGTTCGATGCTTCATCCAAACATCACATTGATTTAATACACTGCTTGATAACCGCTTGTTGACGTTATAAAAACGTGCGGCTAACTTTTAATTGTTGAGCCAGGCAGGGGAGCGTGCCCAGCTGCTGGAGGGATCAGTGAGACAGGCGCAACAGTCAGAGGGGAGAATACTAGCCCTTCAGCATTCCCTAACGCAAGTAGACTCTGTACTAACAGCACGACTCGACAGTGATTTGACTGCTGATGATTTGCCTCATGATTACCAGGTGATTCATTATTTCGTTTCATCATACTCATTGGAGCTTGTGAATCTCAATGCCTAAGTCAATTTTTTTATTAATTAATTTTTTTATTAATTGATCAATTCAATTTGTCATGAGTTATTTTTGCTACATCAATTCGTTGTTTCGAAACAGAAATTAATGGAAGAAATGGACGGCCAGGAGACGACTCTCCACGAGATGAAATCACAAATAGAAATATACGAAAATTCTGGAAAGCACGAGGCTGCGAGTCGCCTCAGAGAACAAATGACCCTAATTGAACAAAAGTTTTTGGAAGTTCAGAGGAAGTTTCAACGTTTCCGTTCACCCTCTAATTTGGAGCCTAGATTATCGCGAGCATTGCGGGAACTTCGGGGTATCGAGGAGGCCACTTGTTTATTGGAGCTTGCCTCGGAGGATCCTGAGGCTATTGAGGGCCAATTGAAGCATTGTCTCGTAAGTTTCCTCAATTATTTCTCAATTCGAATATTGAGGATTGTTTGCCCAGAGAAGTATAATTTCCTTTGCTCTTCAAGAAATAGTTGAAACTTTCGTAATGCTTTTAAAAAGTTAATTGCAATAATTTCGACAAAATTAAATTAAAAAAGTTTCATTCATTTTTAGATTCATAATTCATTATCTCATTAATTTCTTGAATCATTTCTCAATTTGAATATCGAGAATGTTTATACTTCATTCAGAGAAGTATAATTTCCTTTATTCCTCAAGAAATAGAAATTTTCGTAACGATTTTCAAACGTTAATTGTAATAATTTTCCACAAAATAATTTTTTTTTCCAATTTTCAATTGCAATAATTCCGACAAAATTACATTAAAACATTTTCATTCATTTTTAGATTCATAATTCATTGTATCATGAGTTTCTCTAATCATTTCTCGATTCGAATATTGAGGATGTTTATATTCCGTCCACAAATATAATTTCCTTTACTCACCAATAAATCCTCGGAATTTTCCTGATGTTTTTTGTTCAAATAATTGCAATAACTTCGACAAAATTGAAAGAGAAAAAAAGTTTCTTGTGCCCGTCTTCTCATAGAATTCCTTTTGTAATTGATAATTCAGTAGCTAAATGTAGGGAAACAATAAAGAAAAAAAATGAAGCTAATTTAAAAAAATATAATGGATGTACCAACGAAAAGTCGGGAGTATTTATGCAAATTACATAGATATTTTACTCATTTCGTGCATTGTTTTCTCATCAATTTTATGTTAGTGCATTAAAATTCTCATTCGACTGAAGAAGAGATCTTCCTCTATCAGTGATAAAGAAACGAGAATTTATTTTCCCTGTGTTAATATCCTCAATCCAATCCTCATCAGATGAAAAATTAATTGAACAATTTCTCCAATGAATACTTTTTCAGAGATTCTACCAAACCCTGAGTGAAATCAAGAGTGAAATTGAGAGTATAATAGTGATCGGCCGAAAACTAGTGGAAGAAAATTCTGTCTCAGAGCCCGATAAATTCTCCAAAAGAATCGACACCCTGAAAGAACTGTACAACAAACTCGGTCTGAGGATAACAGAATCCAAATCGATCCTGGAATCAGCTCTGGAATTATCCCGAGACATGTACAAGCACATGACGTATTTGAACATGGCCATTGACAGTATAAACAAGGAGCTTGATACCCAGAGAAATATGCCAGACCTCCCTGTCAACGCGATATACGTCACTGAGACACTGACTGAAGTGCTGCCGAGATTGAACGCGGTTAAAGAGAAACTGTTCAGAAGTCAGGATGAATTTTTGAAGCTGTGCGATCCATCTTATCTGGAGCAGCTGAAGGAGAGGCTGACAGATATTATAACGAGGCTGACGAGCACGGAGAAGAGGCTGAGACAGATATCCTCGAGTGAGGATGAGCCAAATGTCGATGAAATTAATGCCTGGCTGTTACAAATTGAAGAGAAAATCAATAAATTATGCGATGTACCAGCTGAGGACATTGATAAGGAGCATATTGAGAGATGCAAGGTAATTTATCTCTGACGAATTCGTTAATTGAAGACAGTTATTTAAAAACCGGGTTCAAGGTGATTCAAGTACCGCACTAAAATTTCAAAATCGCAGGGGTCTTTATTTATCCTGCTAATGAGTTTACTGCTTCAGTTTTAATGTAAACAGAATTTTTTAATTAGGTTTTGATTTTTCTGATTGATGGTTCAGTTTTGATTTAAAAAAAATTAAAACATTGAGTTTTGATTTTTTTCACTGATGGAATGTTCAAAAGTATCCTTCAATCTTGTTCAAAAGTGTGACTTGAATCTTGGTTTACACATATAAAATATATGGAAAAATATAACTAAATGGGGCTTTTTGAACATTTTCATTGTTTGGGTTTTTGGAATTTTTTCCATAGAACGTGCCACAAGTTAGAATTCTTAGAAATTGCTCAAAATGAAGTATGAATTTTGTCTGATTTTTCTCTTCATTTTTCTCATTATATTCTAAATAAACGATTCGAAAAAAATCAATGCTTTTATTATTGATAATTGATGATTTTTTAATTTTTTCAATTCATTTTATTATTTAAACTTCGAAAGTCCAGGAACATTCTTCGAAAGTTTTATTCTCTATTTTGGACCGTAAGGAAATATTAAAATACGAAAAGAATTAGAAAGTCTAATATTTACGGGAGATTCATAAAATAATTAGAAAGTTACAACTCTCTTATAAACAATCCATTTTTTGTTATAAAATTAGTTTCTTTGAAGTCGTGATAAATTTTTCCACATTCCAAATCTCACCATAAAAAATGAGGTTTCTGAAAGTGTTAACTATGTTCGTAGTTCTTTCATTAGAAAGGAATGTTGAAAAGAAGAGTATTTTTTTAAAAATGAATTGATGATGGATGAAAAAATTATTAATGAAAAGACGTCATAAAAAATCGTTGAAACATAAGTAGTTTGATATTCTCAATGATTAAAAATGAATTATTCCCCCAGGCAATTCAATCAGATATGACGGAGGCAACTCCCCGAGTATCACAACTGCAACGCTACGCTTTTTACCCAAAAGTGTCTGCTGTCTGCAACAAATGGGACAGGCTCACCCGAAAACTACAGGTAAACACTCCCTCACTCACTCCCAATTTTTGTATGAAACACAAATCCAAGAATACTTTAATTACTTCAATCATTGCTTTTAATCACTAAATTGCTTATAACAATGCTTTTCTAAAAAATAAAAAACCAATGAAACAGCAAACAATGAACCATCCAATAGAAGGGTAAACCAAGATTTTCAATGATTCATAATCACCTTAAAAATTATAGCTCAACATAACCTAATGAATAACGTAATTAATTAACTCGTAAAAGTGTTTACCCATGGAAAATAGTGTTGACGTCCCCACAGTATCAGCCCAAATACTAAGGCTAATGCCTCAGAGGTAATTACCAAATATCAAAGAGCTAGTATTCCCCAAAGATGCGAACACGACTGTACATATCACCCCAAAAAACTCCCAAAATTTCATAAAAACATGAGAATGGACCAAATTATTCCTTGCACTGGAGTCTCTCCCCAAGTACCACAATAATTTACGAACCAGATGATCAAGAATCATCAGAAAAATCTGTACAAAAAGTAAATATCCAGAATACGTAGATGGACAAAGTATTATTGGTGATGGACAAGTGAAAAAGAAAAAAAAAGATTGAGCTTTCCTTGCACAGAGAAGCGCATGGTGGTATCTATGGCCTGGCCTCACACGATTCATCATCACCATCATCCTATTAACCCCCTGGTTCTCTTCCGTTTTAACAAAAAAAAAAGTATCCGAAAGAATTTCTAAGAAAATAAACGAGAGAAATTTGTGCTCGAACGATAAACCATTAAGAATCATATTTTCACAGGGTTGGATGTCCAAGGTGACTGATAACATATCGTTAAAGTGCGAGAGATACGAAATTGGTAGGGGGAGAGACATTGGACAGGATAGATTTAAACAATTCGATAAATACTCGAGCAATGTTAACGGAGAAACGTGTGGAGTAGAGTGCATTAATCCAATTTGCCATAGTTATTCACCCGACTCTCAGAGGTACTACGAGAGACGAGTTACAGAAGTTAACAGCATGATAGATCATAAATTTGAGATGAATGAGGTACCAGATGTGGTGAAAACAGCGCAAAACGTTGAGTATCTGGAGGATGAGGAAGAGTTCTTTCTCTCGAAAAATAGTAAATTATTCTCTCAAGTGTCTGCCAACACACTGACAGCAGTGGAGTCACCTGACATTCAGTCGAATCCCCTTCGAGTTGTTGAAGTGAGGGAAATGGAAATTATTAAGGGGATAGCAGCCCCAGGTGAGCGTGTTGTGCTGCCAAAGGCTAATGTGCATTTCGGGCAGAAACCACTTGTTGTGGAGAGGGTGGAAATACTTGAGGACACTGAGACTGAACCGGAGTCTGTTGACACTGATCCCGAGGAGAAAGATGGTAAAGTTCAGGGGAAACGGTATCAGGGAATGAAGAAGGAACTTGTGCCCATATTGAAGAGGAAAAATATTAACAGATCATCGCTGAGTCCGAAGAAATTGACCCTTCGTTTGCACCAGGAGGACATCTTCACGGAGACCTCGGTGAGTTATCGAATGGCCAGGGACAGGGACAATTACGAAAGATACACGACTGCCTCGTGGAAGGATGAGGCGAGTGTTGCTGAGTATTTAATATTGGATGAGGATGAAGGAGGCTCGTCGTCAGCTAAGGAGGCAGAGAGGGAAAATAAAATGTTGGCTGGTTTAAAGGGAATGCTCTATAAACAGCGGGATGATCTCAAGGCTGAGGGAATTGGGAGATTTAATAGTGATGATAATAGGGGGAAGAAATGCATTGCTACGAGGAGATTAAAGGCTCTTTCTCTGGATGACACGAAAGAGGATTGCGAGAGTTTTTATGGGAGTGATAAAGAGACTGACGACGCTCTGATTTTTTCGGATGATACTGAGATCGACGCCAGTGATGGTAGTAGCTCTGATGGGGATACTAGCTCTGTGAGGGGTAATGAGAACTTCTTGAACAAGGTAAACTTTCTATCGGCGAGAGAAAGGGGTGCAGGTCTTGCTTGGAATTGAAAAATCGCGAGTTGAAAATCCTCGGTTAGAATATAGGTGGAACATTTTTGGTCAGCAATCTATTTCGTTAAGCTTATGCTGGACTTAGGACTATTTCAAGGTCATCTGAGCTGTGAAAAATTTCTTAAGATCTTTTTCTATCTTAATTCTTAAACAAATATATTTATTCGTAAATAAATAAATAAATATAAATATTTTTTTCAATAAATAATTATTACTCAATACTTTTTAAATCATTTGATTAAAAAAATCGTGGACAAGAACTTTGTATTCCTGTGTTTGTCGAAAAAAAATTTTTCTCAAATCTGTGCATAATGAGAGTAACTCCTCTTTTAATGGATCAATAAATACATAACGATCATAAATAATATGATATGACAATATGATAAATAAAAAAGAAGTTCAATTTGAATTTCAAAGTCTCAAATCGCTGTACTTTCAACAATAACGAAATATTTTGCTCAAGAGGGGGATCGTTGACACGAAATGGTGCCTTTGGGGATGAAAATATCTCTCATAAAGCGAAATTTATTGTTTTACTAGAGGATTCAGTAGCGAAGCGGTAAAACGGTTTGAGTCGACTTAGCTCTTACCTGAGTTTTTGAGAAATATCTCCAAATCTAAGGGACATAGTAAAATTTTCATAATGAACTTTTTTGTGGATCTTCATTCGCTCTACAAAAAAGGTTATAATACAAATTTTGCTATCTGCTTTAGATTCCGAGATATTCATTGAAAACTGGTCAATAGTCGAAATTAACTTAAACTGTTTTACCCCTGATCTATGATTATTGAATAGTTGGATTGAAAAATTATTGCTCCTTGTTTGGCAAGCAGTGCTAGAAATACCATTTTTATTTATTTATTTTCATCCCAGAGCAGCCTTCAAATAGTCAACTCTAGATTTTCTTTCTTTGGTAATTTTGGGTCAAACAAGACTCATTTGAGAAGATATTTATGTCCTCTGAGTGCAGGTGCACAAAGTAAACCCGGAATCAGTCAAAATCCTTCCTCACAATAATTAAATCTATCAACGTCAGTTTCTCCCCCGTAATATCTGATAAAGGTCTGGTATTCCTTGTCATTCCAGTCGACCGTGGAGAAGATCGAGAGAATTTCCCAGAAACCGGATGTGAAGTCTCACGTGGATGGGAGGGACGTACGCAGCCCCAACTTATCAAAAATTGGATTAGAACGTGATATCATTGAGTTCGAGCAGACTGCACAGCTTATGTCGAGGAGAATAGACGTTATGTTAATGACTATTGGTGCTGTCTCCAATGAGAAAGATCCGACGAAGCGGCTTGAGGTGAGTGAAATGAGGATTTTCTTTCAGTTACGTCGAATTCTATTTTGCTGTAGGGGAGAGGTTTCAAGACTCAATTCTCGGCGAGGGAGGTGATGGTATTCTTTAACTGCTCGGAGATATTACTGAGTGTAGGGGAAAAGAAAATGCAAACAGCCACACGAAATCGTTACGAGGATATTTTGTTTTTTATATTTTTGGAGATTTTTAATTGGCAAATTTGTAAATTAAATTGTGTAAGAAAAAAAATGGAAAAATTAATGGATTATGGGCGTTGTTCAAATTTAAGGGGTCTCCGCAGTACTTTTGGGTAAAATATGACAATGTGCTTGCGAATTAAATATATCATATAGTAATCAAAAATGTTAAAACGGTATTTGTAAAAGCAATTCTAACTACTTCTATGGTTTTGTTCGTGTTTAATTAATTATTCAAATCGCGCCTTATACACAACCTTTATGGACGCTACTTTGTCACATACCCCTCACACTGTTGACAATGTGCTAGCCAACAAAGGAAGCTAAATTGTTCTATATTAAGCCCTAAACTATATGGGCACGAAGTCCCATTGAGTTTTATCGTTGATTTGTTCAATAAATTAATGATAAAAATACTATGGCGATGTCTGTCATTATCCAACATACGCCATGTTTGATGTCCCGTCTCTCTCGAAACTAACCTCACTAACTTGACTATTTCACATTCAACTCACCTGCGCGCCCATCGCAACTGCGGAGACCCCTTAATTCTGCAAAGAATTGCTCGGCTTGTAAACTACACATTCGTTGAAAACGAAATTTATTACCGAGTGCTCTATAATATTTTATGTCAAGTCGTGCAGAAGTCGAGTTTTGAGCAGGCTGCGCGAAGCGCAGCGTGTGATAAACTCGACTTATTGCACGGCGCGACATAAAATACATAATGCAATTTTTTGGAATGCCCAATCATTCAAAGCGGGGTATCGAGTTTAGACTTCAAAGTTTAAATAATGAAGTAATTTGAATGCGGCTGAAAAAAAGCTATGATGTTATCAACAACAAATACTAACAATAATTCCTACGGAACAGTATTCCTCTATCTTCTTACACCGATTCGAAACGATAACAATAAAAATACATCCACAAATATGCGCACGTACACTGTTAGAAAAAAATGAAATGTCATGGACAGTTCACAAATAATTTTTAGGATAGTGACACTGAATGCGATTTCGGGGAGAAAACTCATGAAATTTCAAGTTTCACTGGAAATTCAGTAAAATTTCAGAATTCAAGAATTTTTGACGTAGATACGTCTATGATTTCAATATGGGGAGTCATTTTGGGAAACGATCCTTATGTGCAGCGCCATCTATCAGCATTCTAGAAAATTCTGGACATTACGAGGTAATTCGAGAAGTTTCTTGAAATTTCGCAAAAATTCAAGGAGTTTCTAGAAATTTCGAGGAAATTCAGGGAGTTTCTAGAAAATACGAGGGAATGCAAGGAGTTTCTAGGCAATTCGAGAAAGAAGGAAAGACCATGGACGTATCCACGTACAATTACAGTTCTATCGAAGATACAGCCGCCTACAATGTTTTAGCAGAATAAAGACGAGAATTCCTTAATTTATTCAAGTCTCCCATCTAATATGAATATTCAGTGCCAAATTACATTGAATTTTCAGTGAAATCTGAAATTTCATGATTTTTTTCTCTAAATCGCTTTCAGGGTGACTGTCCTGAAAATTCAAGAATATATGTTCTGGTTTTAAACTCATTTTCAGAGAAAAATTTAACTGAAATTGAAAATTCCCTTAGATTTTTCCACAAAATTCTGATTTTTTAATGACGAAATTCCTTGAAATTTCGGTGGTAATTAAATTCGATAAAAATTTCCAAAAAGTGTATATTGAGAACCATAATTGTCAAACTCTTCAAACAATCAAAAAACGCCGCGTCGGTTCGCGAGCAAAATCTCACACCCCCGAAAATTTTCTAGGTTTTGAAAAACGAAGTGAGTAGTCTCGCCCCGGACGCGGCCTCCCTAATAAGCCGCGGTGACGGTCTAGTAATGACAGTCCACATGCTCGACCCAGTGCGTGCGGAAAAAATAAAGAACGACCACCAAGACAAGCTCCGCAGTAAATGGCACCAAGTAATGACCGAAGTAGACGCACGTCGTGTCCAAGCCCAAAAGGCCGAACAATTGCTGAAACAATACAACAAACTAATCGCTGACTTTGAAAAATGGTTCCGCGAGGTGCCTGCCAAGCTGGAACAAGCCAACAATTACGAGAGGCAATTGGAGAGCTTCACCGAGGAGTTCGACGTTAAGCAAGAGGAGATAGAAAAGTTGAACAATTTGTGCAACGAGTTGAAGAAACTCAACGTCGGATACCCAGAGGCCATTCGTTACAGTATAAACACAAGGTGGCACGAGATAAGCTCTCAATTTAAGAGATACAGTGGCAGCAAGGACAAGGAAAAAGTCGCCGACAAAAAGATGGAATTGCAGGAGGTCGGCAGTGTCTCGGCACTTGACTATGCTACGAGATCCAATAAACTGAGGGAAGCTATATCCACAATATCGCGTTCATTAAACTCAACGCCATTAAACGGAAAAGATTACGAGTTATTCCTGAGCCAGGAGGAGTGTTTGCGAAAAATGAGCAATGCATTGAGCATACTAAAACCGAGTGTCGAGGAGATGGGCTATCTCTCGGAGAGTGCAGCGATGACTATGAAAAAAGAGCAGTGCGATCAGGTCAAGCGTTTGGCGGAAAAATTGAGGGATGAATGGCTGACAGTCAATCGTAATTACACTGAGAGGTACAATCGGTGGGTCAAGTGCTCTCAGAAGTGGAAGGAGGTTGATCACTCGTGCTGGATGTTCACCGAGTACATGGAGAAGTCAGCAAAGTTGCTGAAAAAAGTATCGCCGAAAATGTCCAGAGGAATGCTTCTGGAGATGGAGCATGAGGTCCAACAAATGCAGAGAATGCTCGCCTCCGTCGGCACATTGCATGCTGATATTTTGTCTCGTTCATCACCGGAGGATATCACTGAATTACAAACTATTGTTGATCATGCAAAACAACGGTGGCAGCAGTTATTGGCAGAGTTCAACGCCCTCAAAGAGAAGTGAGTGCTTTTTTTTTTGGGGGAATAATTTTTTTATCTCTCGGTTCCGTGGCCGGGGGGGGGGGGG